ATAACTCTTGAATCCTTCAATGAAACTTATATTGCCAGTGATATATGTTGAGATTTTTGAGACCAATAAAATATTTTCAAATGTCTTTAAAGGGGTCTTCTTTGATCATCTAACCTAAAATACCCCTTGTCTCCATCAGTCAGTCTATCTCGGGTTTGTTTTTTTTTCTTTTCCGTAGAACTTGTTTTCTGTAATAATTTTGTTCACTTGTTGACTGTCTCCTCTTTTGGGATATATGTTCCCTGAAGGCAGGGACTCTGTTGTACCCCTAGGACCAGAACTGGCACATTGGAGATGGATACTTAATAAATATTTGTTGAATGAATTAATTATCTGTATCTGTGTTGCATCTTCCCATTAAGTGGTCTGTATTCAAAAGCTGGAACTTCTTTAAACCCACTGGCTATGAAGGTATAAGTCCCAACCCTGGTATCTGACTTACCTTTAATGAAAGTAATACCTCTTTTTTAAGGAGGAAGATGTATTTGTCTACACATTTAAGATTTTTCATAGCTAAAGATTTCCTTTCTGCTGGGAATGCTAGGCCAGGAGATGATAGGGTAGATAACTGTCATTTTGTACTTCTCTGGCAGATCTTTCTGATTCTCCTAGGTAGCTTTACTTTACCTGATTAGATGTTCTGCAAACCAAAGTCCTTTTATTTGTGATAGTATTTGAACCATTTCCAGAACAATTTGTAAGAGTTCCTACCTAATTAATTTTTTAAGTAAAATGTTCCCATTTCAATCAGATTATTTCAAACATAAAATTTGTGATAAGCATCAGGGGTGCCCGAGTGGTGTGGTCTGTTGAGCATCAGGCTCTCCATTTTGGCTCAGGTCGTGATCTCAGGGTCATGGGATTATGGGATCAAGCCTCGTGATGGGTTCTGTGCTCAGCATGGAGTCTGTTTAGAGTTTCTCTCTCCCTGTCCCTCTGTCCCTCCCCACTGCTTTCTCTCTCTCTCTCTCAAATAAACACATCTTTAAAAAAATTGTGATAAGCATCAAAGGTAGAAATTAACAGACACATTTCCTTCTCTCACATGGTCGCACCTGGTACGTTATTGAGCTATTTGTTGAGCTTAGCAATGGAGGCACAAATGAAGGAATCCTCAACCCCACCTGGGAAGTGTGGGAAGGCTTCAGAAAGGAGGAAACCCATAGACTAGGTCTTAAGGAAAAAAATCAGCAAGCAAGAGCAGTAAATCCTAAATTGTAAATGTTGCCATGTCTTAATTTTCATCTTGTAAAATATAGATAGAAAATTGATTCACTTTGAAGGGGCACCTGGGTGGCTCAGTTGGTTGGGTGTCCAACTCTTGATCTCAGCTCAGGTCTTGAGCTCAGGGTCATGAGTTCAAGCCCCACTTAAAAAAATGGATTCACTTTGAGAATAAGATCCTAAAGTGTATCTAACCTCTCCCTCACTTATATACAGAAAAAACGCACTTCTTTCTTACCATTTTGTATGGAGAAGATGTAAAACAAACAACTGAAAATAAATCCCAAGTTATTCCCAAACAAAAGTAACTATTTTGCATCTTTCTTAAATACTAAATAACTCATGAACCTAGGTGCATACATATATTTTGATACTGAGATGTTAAAAACTGTTGGAATTGGTGATTATCAATGTACCTACCTATTTTATTTCTCTTGTCCTATTATATTTCCACAGATTCTATTTTTCTATTTTTATTCTAAGGTAATTTTTGATAATTAAATACATCTTATTAATACACTGGTTTAATGCAATTTGTCTTTACTTATTAACCATAATAGGCCTGGCTTTTCCCATTAGGAGCTGAAGGGAACACAAAAGATCATACACTCTTTCAGGAGGAAACATAAATAGAATAATGTAAATAATAGTTGTATTTAAGATAAAATATTAAGATGAATCTGATCAGATCAGATAATAATGCATGATACATACAAGTAAGTGCTAGGCAACTAAAGGAAGAAATATTAACATTACCTAGAATTATCATGGAAGCCATAGCAATTGAGGAGAAAGGAATTGAGATTCCCCTTGAAGTTTGAGCAGAATCTGGAAAGAATTTGGAAGAACTTTCTAAGCAATAAGAGCATAATAACTAAAGACATGAAGACCGCATGGACAGAGTACCATAAAGATGGTCTTATCTGACTTAGAGTAGAGGATGTATGTTTCTAGAGAAATATTTCCAGTAGATTTGATGAAATGTCCTTTGTAAGCTGGCTGTCAATGAAAGTATGGCCTAAGGCAAAGAAACTTTTCTAGTTTTAATAGAACTCTCTTAATCCTGAAAGGAGTTATTCCTTCAACAGATTCCTTGAAAGCCTATTTTAAAAGACTTTTAACTGAGTCCCTTTGTATAATGCAATATTCCCCGAAGTACATTTAGGTAATGGTTTTTACATAAAAGTAGCATTCTGTAGTCAAATTTTGGAAATGTTATGTTAGTGTTAAACTTTTTTTTTAAAGTGGTATGAGTTTACACAGCCTTTAATAATATACTTATATAAATTGTGACTCTTCAAGAGAAAATTTATCTGACCCCAGAACACAGAATCCTCCTTTTTCTTTTTCCTTTTTTCTTCTCCTCCTCCTCTTTCTTCTTCATCTTCTTTGTCGTCGTTGTCTTCTTTTTTTGTAGCATTGATGAGGATTAGGGTTTCTTGGGACAAACTTTAGAAAATGCTGATTTAAAGCATCCACATACATATTTGAAAGAAAACGTTCTTTGAAATAAAACAAGCCTTTGGGGCGCCTTGGTGGCTCAGTTGTTAAGCGTCTGCCTTCGACTCAGGTCATGATTCCAGGGTCCTGGGATCGAGCCCCACATCGGGCTCCCTGCTCCGCGGGAAGCCTGCTTCTCCCTCTCCCACTCTCCCTGCTTGTCTTCCCTCTCTTGCTATGTCTCTCTCTGTCAAATAAATAAATAAATAATCTTAAAAAAAAAAAGAAGTATTTAATTGGGGAGTATAAATAATAAAAATATAATATCCAAGTTCATTACTAATTAGCCTGCCTGTTGCTACTTACCTTGCTAGTGGGTAGGAAACAAAGAAGGCAAATACAACCATAAATGTGTGGGTATTTTTTTCCCAAGCATTTGACACAACAGTGTATGCTGAATCCTGTTTTGAGTGTGAATTTTCTCTAAAATTCAGATCTATCATAAACAAATGAAAATCAAGGAAGAAAATTTTAATAACTTTTAGCAAGCATTTAAAAATACTGTTCCTTATTTTACTACAATCTCAGAATTTTTTCAACACTTGTTAGGGATGTTTTAGACAGCCTTTATGGAAACACTTTCAAGGACAGTTTTAAGAGTTTACCTTTAGAAACGTAAAGTTCCTTCATTTCTATAGCTAATGGTTTACCAACAGCGCCAGTTCATCAGGGTGGAGGTGTATCACACAACTGACCATGCTTTATGGTAGAAGGAAGCACAGCTTACTTGGAAAAGTCCCTCTAAAGAAAGAGCATGGTGAAGAATCATTTGCTCCTAAAAGTATTCGTCAGCTCCCTTTTCTGGAGTCAATAATGAAAACCAAACAGAAAACATATTTGATTCAAAGCCCTGTGAGTGAAGCAGTCCGTGAACTCTGTACAACTTTCTGCACAATTCCACACAGGTATCTGCACTAGTGAGGGTGAAGGGCATAAGGTTTAGGGAGAATGAGACATAAACATGGACTGAGAGGAAGGTCTTCCCCACCACACAGTGCATCACCTGAAGCTCAAATCAAGGTCTTCCCCACCACACAGTGCATCACCTGAAGCTCAAATCAAGCCAGTCAAGTGCTGATGAAGGTGTCCAAGAGCAGGAAGGATGTGAGTTGAGTGACTGCGGGAAGACTCTGACCTGTCTCGACTAGGGTTTTTATTTCCGTTTGTAAGTAAGTGAAGACTGTTGACAGACCTTTCTAAACTGGATCTGGTATATACAAAAGTCTCTTTTAAAAGATTAAAATTTAACAGAAAGTAATGTTCCTGTTCTTATATAGTTTTGGTCTCATTTACATTCTGAGTATTAGTAAGGTTTTAAAAGTCACACATTCAATGACAGTGAGAGATCAAGTAGTAGTGCAGTATTAAAAATCTTGTCTTAAAAATTCTTAAAAATTCATGAAGTGAATCTGACAGTGTTACTACATAGGTCATTTATTATCAAAGGAGAAATGTTATCCAAAGTCAGCAATTTGTTTGTAATACTGTATGAAAATATTTTTATATAATACAGATACAGTGTCAAAATTAAATATACATTCCATTAATTAAAGGACAACATATATTATTCTGTTAAAAATAACCTTCCCAAATTGCAAACTCATTTAGACAAATTTTATTACACATAAATGACAAAAGTAACTCAGTATTATGGTTTAGCATCCTTAGAACAGGCGACTTTCTATTTTGTGAAATCATTCTTTATGGTCATCTTAAAACATTTGCTATACCATTAATGAAGGCACTGTCTTATGCATTCAAGTTTAATTACATGTCTTAATCTCTCTTAAGAATCTTGGACTCCTTCATACCGCTGTTTCTTTAAGGTATTTAACTCTTACTCTCATTGGCATTACCCACATCTGTTAACTCTGAAACATTTCCAGCACAGAAGATGACAATTTCCACTCTCATCGTAGTATGCTGGTGCATAAAATTATTTTGATAATAAAGCAATGTTAATTTTTAATTCCTGCAACCTTTATATACTTCACAGATTTTATATGTCTTCTTCTGAAATTTTAAAATGGGTTTAAAAAGTATTATTGCAACTAATACCTTACTTGGATTGTCTTACAAAAATCACAGAATACTGATTGATTTATGTCCAAAAATATATGAAGGTTTGTCAATTGCAGCCCTTGGTTTCCACTGTTTATATCCATCTTCTAGTACTATGGTAGGAATTTCTCAATTGCTCTAATCGGCTTTTACCAGGATGCATTCTGTAACTTCTAGGGTATTCTAACCTCCCCCCCAGGAATTGTATGAGAAGATAGATTCTTGAAGGATACAACTGAAGTTCATATGTCTTTATATTGCCACTCCATATTTTTCAATGTTCTTTGGAGCCCCTCAAAATTTTATTCCAACAAGTTTTTATCTTTTGTAGTAGTATCCCTAGGGAACACAAGCTCTTCTGTTTTCTCTGTTCCTTTACAGATTTATTGTCTTCCTAGAAAAAATACACAAAAAAATTTAAATTTCTATTTAAAAAATACATTTTAAAATGTTCAATCTTTAATTTCCATCATGTTAGGTTATGCTGAAGGTTTACTAACTAACCAGGATGGCTATTTTCTTCATATACTTGTTTTCTAGTTTATGTTCTATAAAAGTAGTTTGCTCATGTCTTTTGCTTATTACCTATTGATGTTCTAACTTTGTTGCTTTATAAAAAAAAATTGGTGCTCTGATATTTTCCCTAGCTTCTTTTATTTTAAAGTAATGGCTTTAAGGGGCACCTGGGGGGGCTCAGTCGGTTAAGGGTCTGACTCTCTGTTTTGGCTCAGGTCATGATCTCAGGGATGTGAGATGCAGACCTGTATGGGGCTCAGGCACTGGATGTGGAGCCTGCTTAAGATTCTCTCCCCCACCTCCCGCCTCTGCATGCTCTCTCTCTCTCTCAAATAAATAAATCAATGAAACTCCAAAAAAATAAAAAATAAAGCAGTGGCTTTAAAAAATGTAGTTTAAAGGGATCCAGTTTCTAAGAGGTACATCTCGTCTCCTTTTATTAACATTATAATGAATATTTTCAAAACGAACCATTAAAAAGGAAAAGGGAAACATAAAATAAAGGAAAGAATTCAAAGGGAAACATAAAGGAATTAAGTTGAATAAAAAGCTGATGAAGAAAGAAAATTATACAATCACTCTCGCCAAATTTTTAGTGGGTTGGACTTCACCCAGGGAAAGTAGTTTTATTCCTTCCTTAAAAACAAAGTCACATTTATAATATTGAATATTAATCCTTTATTGCTCCTTTCATTAATATCATTGCTAAATTTTATATTGCTGTCAAATTCATCTAATCTATTTGAGAATCTACTTTATTTTTTGATAGTATGGAAGAAGAATAATTTCATTTAGAAATAGAGTATCAGGGAAAAGGAAAAAGCAAGACAGGTTAGTTTTCTTTTTCCTTTTTCTTTTTAACAATTTAGGATGTTTATTTTTAAATTTTTTTATTTAAAGCTTTTATTTAAATTCAAGTTAGTTAACATGTATGGTAAAATTGGTTTCAGGTGTCGAATTTAGTGATTCTTCCCTTACAGATTTATAGAAAAGAGGACAGTAGAAATTTCATATAGAGGACTAACATAAGTAAGGGGGCAAAACTGGAAATAAACTTGGCGAATCCAGGACACCGAGAGGAAACTGGCTTGCATCAAATAGATAATGTGATGATAAATGAAGTGGTCCACATTCTATCATCTTTATTTTCATCATTGTCAATGGGGCTCAAGGATAATTTTATCATCTTACCTCTTGTGGGCAGCTACTAGTATTAAAAAAATAAAGACACACAAGACCCTTTTTCTGTCATGAAAATGTTAAAAATTTCTTTTAAAAAAATCATAAGGAAGCTTTGGCTTTGTGAGGCAGCTGGTAAAATGTCTGAAGGGGGCGTTGTGGTAATAATAATATATCATTTATTGAAACCTTTCTAGTACCAAGCACTTTACATGAATTATGCTATTTAATTACCCCTGTCACCATCCTTTAATGTAGATACTATATTTTTCTCCATTTTGCAGATGAAGAAACTGTGGCTTAGTATCAAGATTGTGTCTTCCAAATCTTGTTTTGTTATATTTCATAACCACTAGCAGACAAATAGGAAAAATTAGCCCTATACTTAACAAAATTATTGAAGCAAAAAAAATTATTGGAAAATATACATGTTTTAACATGTAAAGTTTTAACATGTAAAGATATTTGTTAAATACATTTGATTATCTGTTTTATTGGCTATGAGTTCTTATAAATGTGTACATATATGGGTTAAAATTATTAATGAGGTTTAGAGGTAAAAATTTACCATTCCCACCCAAGTTATCACATTAACCTCCTTCAAAGTTATCATAGCAATGAGGTATGCACTCACTTATTTTTACTCTGCTTCCATAATCTATTTCAACTTTAGGTAATAATAAGCAGTTAGAATTCTATGATAATAGATATGATCATTAGAGAATTATAGTATCCTATCACAGGACTAGTTGATATTTTTGTTCAAAGTAAACAACTTACCTTGGGGGTACAGTTCAACAATTGTAATGTGCCCTGTGAAACTCTTGATAAGTGGAGATTAAAATCCTCACTGTTATTCACTTTAACAAACTGCTTCAACTTGCGAGCAGCACGATATAAAAACATACCTTCCTATTACAGGAAAAAAAAAATCACAAGCGTTGTGGTTCAAATAAAATATTAAAAAATGACAAGCTTTCCTAAGGAGCCTAAAGCCAGAGCTGTATTGCCAAATAATGCCCCACCTCCACCCCAGATTTCCATTCCAGTTAATCACATGACTGACAAGTAACTAGACTGACACTGTTTAGCTCCTAAGTGACAGTCTGGAGGGCCTAGAATTTGGCTTAATGATTATTTGACTTTTTGAAGTCTCCTTTCTTCATAATATAAACTTAATGATCTTAGCACTTATGGATGAACATATATTCCATTTTAAACGAGACAACCAAAGGAGAGGGCTTCTGAAGGCAACAATAATGAAAGGTATGTGGTTTCTCTTCTTATTTTTGTACCTTTTGAGCTATGGATGAATAGCTGGAAATTAGGAAAAAGGGTCCATATTCACCTCAAACAAGTTTTTCAGATATTTAAAGTAAGAAATTAAAATAAAAAGAATTTATGAATATACAGTGCAATACTATGAGGTTAACTCAGCTACTATGAGTTTAAAAAAGACTACTGAATGTCATACTAGTTTCTCTAGAAGGAAATGACACAAACTTTTGTTGAAAGGTTGGTAAATTTTAATATTCCCCCAACCAAAGGTAGTAGTTGTTTGAAAATAAGTAAATTTGAAAGAAAAAATTTCAAAGTCCTAGAAGTAAATTATGCCCATGACTTATGTTTGTGTGTGTGTGCAAGCAATCAGTCTAACAAGCATTTTCCTGCATAAGAATGTTACAAATAAGGGATATGTCTGTCTTTGAATTCAGCAGTTTTAGCATTTTCAAAGTGAAAACTGAAATGCTAAAATAGAAAAAAAAATATTTACCAAATAAGCATAGGGCTTTTTGTAAAATGAAAGTATAAAAGAAGACCATAGTATAATTTAATAGGTCAGTGGGAATTGTCTGGTTAGAACGAAAAGAATATGTTATTAATATAATCAATATAATTATCTAACACATACAAATAATATAAGCCTCTATAAAATCAAGCTTGAATGACATATAAATTCAAAATAATTATTATTACCTTATTATCATCACATGCATGTTTTTTTAAAACTTTAGGTTCATTATTCGGGCAATTGGTACGATTTTTTATCATAGTGTCCTGTAAAAAGTAATTATATAATAGTATGGTTAAATTGGGGACTTTTCTAATATATAACAATTTTAAAAACAACAATGTTATGATACTTGGTCTTAATATGTGCATCTTAAGGAAAATAACTTTAGCATGGCTCAGCTGACTAGGCATAAAGAATAGTTTCTATGGTTAAAGAATAAACAAGTATATACACAAACCCTCACATATTTAAAGCTTCTCCCAGACTCCATAACTTAATCCCATAAATCACTGAGAGGATCTGGTTCATTTGGGGAAATAGAAGTACCTATTTTAGAAGTTATACTATGTAGACAAAGTACAATAAATTCTGAAATCATGAAGTTGAGATGCATTTAAGAGGTTTTCCAGTCCAGTTTCCTGCCACTACAAAACAGCAACAAAAAGAATTTACATAAGAATAAGAGAAAACCTCTTGACAGAGTGAAGTTGAAATTTATTCTACAGCATTTTTTTTTGAAGATTTTATTTATTTTATTTGAGAGAGAGAGTTAGTGAGAGCAGGAACACAAGCAGGGGGAGCAGGAGATGGAGAAGCAGGCCTCCAGCCAGGCAGGGAGCCCGATGCAGGGCTTGATCCCAAGACCCTTGCATCATGACCTGAGCCGAAGGCAGACGCTTAATGACTGAGCCACCCAGGCGCCCCTATTCTATGGCATTTTTAACAATCCAATTTGCCTGGGATGCTTGAGATAGAACTTTGCTAAGAAACAATGGGATCAAGTGTGTGTGTATTGTTACGTAGGAGTAGGAAGGCAGACAATACATGTTCATTTTTTATTTCTAAGGAATGTAGTAGTAGAAGGTGGGGATTACCCGAATCCGGAATTTAGTTGAGGTATTAGGAAGAATTTCCTAAGGATTCAGATTCTCTTCTACACAGGATCAGACTAGTTCTGTCAAGCAAATGAACAATTTCATGCTATCAGAGCTTCCAGAAGGATTTCAAGCAATCTTAGCCTGTATGTTTTCACCAAAGAAACAGGGTAAGTGGAAGAATGGCAAGATTTAATCATGGGCTTCTAGTCTTCATCCGTCTCTCAGAAAAGTGTGCATTACTCTGGTCACCTGAGAAAAGTGTGAATGGTCTCTGGGTTTATCCTGACTTTAATTGTATTTACTATCTGCTTTACTGTAGGAATTAGTGTTTGAACATTCATTTAACCACTCAACGCTTACTATCAGTCAATGTGCAGGGTCCTTGCCAAGCCCAAGGGAAAAACAGACTAAGAAAGCACAGTCCCAGTTTCTTGTTGCCATTTGATATAAAGGGCAGATACTACATCATCCCTTGGACACTTTTTATATCACTTCTTACCTTTGTTAAGTGTGTGCTTTTGTAAACAAAATATTTGTTAGTGCCTGTCTCCTCATATAGCAAATATCTTAAGTGCAAATGGATATATTTTCTATAACTCACTTCATGTTGCCATTATACACATTCCTGAAGAGGTAGTAAAGAATTAACATTTGCCTATTAAATCATCTTCCTATGGATTTCCATTTAACCCAAAAAAAACCCCGCAATAAATCATACATACATTTCTCTTTGATAAAACAGAGCATTTCATTTTTGCCATGCCATTATTAAAAAAAAAAAAACCTATAGAACAAACCGAGGGTTGATGGACGGAGGTGGGCAGGGGATAGGATAAATGGGTGATGGGCATTAAGGAGTGCACTTGTTTTTTTTTTAAGATTTTTTTATTTATTTTATTTATTTATTTGAGAGAGAGAGCATGAGAGGGGAGAGGTTCAGAGGGAGAAGCAGACTCCCTGCTGAGCAGGGAGCCTGATGCGGGACTCCATCTCAGGACTCTGGGGATCATGACCTGAGCTGTAGGCAGTTGCTTAACCAACTGAGCCACCCAGGTGCCCCAAGGAGGACACTTGTGATGAGCACTGGGTGTTATATATAAGTGATGAATCACTAAATTCTACACCTGAAACTAATATTACACTGTATGCTAGCTGGAATTTAAATAATTTTAAATTAAATTATTAAATTATTTAAATTAAATTAAATAATTTCAAATTAAATTTGAAACATTAGGAAAAAAAGAAGATAGACAAATGTGCATGTTTTCCAATTTACCAAAAATATTATGCAAAAATACAGCATAGAATTAGTACTTATTTCTTGGATCATTTTAACAAATTGCATGGCACATGGATATATGAAAAGCCACTTGGGTAAGCCATTGCTCCAATGAATTTTTAAAAAACTCATTTATATGTAGGTATATGTTCTTATATGCATGTATAACATACAGAAAAGTAATGTTATACCAGTTGATTTGTTTGCCAAATGTTTGCTACAATATATAAAGATGTTACTATACACTAAAAGATTGACTCTTATATGGGTAACAATAATTGACTTCAGTGCCTTTTGTGAATACATTAACAGGTATATATAAGTGCATATTACAGTTGGTTTCTGAAATTGTTTTTATTCAAGCCTGATAAGAAGGATGGCTCAGACTAAGGTTAATAGAATCACGGAGGTGGAAAGAACCTTAGATATCCATCTCTTGAGTTACTTTACTTGATTTGCTTTACCAATAATAATTTCTTATAAGCATCATGACATGTTTGAAGATTTCTTCATATTTAATATGGATATGGAAAATTAAAAGAGAAAAGCCAGGATCACAATGACTGTGAACTGCAATATTTTCCAGTATAAAACATGATGTTATATAAATTGTTCTAAAAATACATAATGTCTTTTCAAACTATAGATTTACATGTCTTTCATTTCAGCATAGTTTTCTTCTTTGAATTATTTCCCTTGCACTTATAACAGTATCTTCTTCGGAAACACTAATTGTGTATCCAATGGATTTTCTATTTCACCTTTTCTTCTATATATTTGTCTTTGATTTTTTATAAAATTTCATTTTTTGTGATTTTCTCCACCATGTCTTCCATATGCCTGTTCTAACAGGGCACTTATTTCTGGTTTCCATTTTATTCTCCATTTTTTCCCTAAATCTAAAGAGCTCACCTTCATTTTCTCTGTTATCTCTTCTCCTCAAACTATTATTTTTTAGATTTTTTTTACTTTGGTTTCTTAGAGAGTGTTGAGAAAAATCTGACATTTTCTACTGCTTTCATGGGTAATTAATCTTTGATCTGAATTCTTCATTTTCCTTATCTATGTTTTCATTTGCTTGTTTACATGTTCATTTGCTCATTTATTTTGGTGGTATCAATGCATAGTTTTTTTATTTTCTGGAGATATATATACATAGATATAGACATAGAGATATATATCTATATATATATTTAAATTCAATTAGTTAACATATAGTGTATTATTAGTTTCAGAGGTAGAGTTCAGTGATTCATCACCCTTATATAATACCCAGTGCTCATTATGTCATGTGCCCTCCTTAATGTCCATCACCCAGTTTCCCCATCCCCTCACCCCCCTCCCCTCCAGCAACCTTCAGTTTGTTTCCTACGGTTAAGAGTCTCTTTTGATTTGTCTTCCTCTCTGGTTACATCTTGTTTTATTTTGGCCTCCCTTCCTCTATGCTTCTGTTTTGTTTCTTAAATTCCACATATGAGTGAAATCCTGTGATAACTTACTTTCTCTGATTGACTTATTTCACTTAGCATAATACCCTCTAGTTCCATCCACATTGTTGCAAATGGCAAGATTTATTTTTTTGGATGGCTGAGTAATATTCCATTGAATACATATATATATATGTGTTCAATGGAATATATATACACTATATATATTCTAAAAATACATATACACTATATATTCTTTATATATACATATATATAATATATATATGTATTCAATGGAATATATATACACTGTATATATTCTTAAAAATATATATACACTATATATTCTTTATCCGTTCATCCGTCGATGGACATCTGGGCTCTTTCCCTAGTTTGGCTATTGTGGACATTGCTGCTATAAACACTGGGGTGCAGGTGTTATTTTCTGGTTAACTTTGAAGGGATGCAAAACTAAATTAGATTATTTTTTCAGCTAATATTCAACTTTTCCCTCTACCCCATCGGAGGATGTATCAGTTTTCTAGGGCTGTTGTGGCAAATTGCCAAAAACAACAGAAGTTTCTTTTGTCACAGTTCTGGATGTCAGAAGTCCAAAAGGAAGGTACCAGTTGGAGAATCTAGGGGCAAATTCATTTGTTTGCCTCTTCTTTTTTCTGTCGGCCACCAGCAGTTTTTGGTGTTCCTTGGCTTATGGCCACATGGTCCCAGTCTCTGCCTGCAACTTTATCACCTTCTTCTCTATGTGTGGGTCAAGTCTCCCCCTGCCTTTCTCTCTTTTTTTTTTTTCAAGTTTTTATTTAAATTCTAGTTAGTTAACATACAGTGTAATATTAGTTCAGGTATAGAATTTCGTGATTCAACACTTACATGCAAGACTTGGTGCTTATCACAAGTGCCCTCCTGAATCCCTATCACTTATTTAACCCATACCCCCACCCCCGCTCATCTCCCCTCTGGTAACCATCAGTTTGTTCTCTATACTTAAGTGTCTGTTTCCTGGTTTGCCTCTCTTTTTTTCCCCCTATGTTCATTTGTTTTGTTTCTTAAATTCCACATATGAGTGAAATCATATGGTATTTGTCTTTCTCTGACTTATTTTACTTAGCATGATACTCCCTAGCTCCATCCATGTCATTGCAAATGGCAAGATTCCATTCTTTTTTCATTGCTGAGTAATATTCCTGTGTGTGTGTGTGTGTGTGTGTGTGTGTGTGTAACATCTGGATGCATGCATCCTTTCGAATCTGTATTTTTGTATCCTTTGCGTAAATACCTAGTAGTGCAATTGCTGGATCATGGGGCAGTTCTATTTTTTAAAAGATTTTTTAAATTTATTCATTTGAGAAAGAGAGACACACAGAGAGAGCACAAGCAGAGGGAGAGGTAGAGGGAGAAGCAGACTCCTCATTGAGCTGGGAGCCCAGACGTGTGGCTCGATC